TCTCTCTCTCTCTCTCTCTCTCTCTCTCTCTCTCTCTCTCTCAGTATGAGCTGGCCACAGGTCGGTTCCCCTACCCGAAGTGGAACAGCGTGTTTGACCAGCTGACTCAGGTGGTCAGAGGAGATCCGCCGCAGCTCAGCAACTCGGACGAGAGACGCTTCTCCCCGAAGTTCATCTCCTTTGTCAACGTGTGGTGAGAAAACTGAAACACAGCAACGCTTCTGCCCTCTGCTGGACACAGATGGGAACTGGCGCTTTTCTTTGTCATTTCCAGCCTTACGAAGGATGAATCCAAGAGGCCAAAGTACAGAGAGCTGCTGGTGGGTTCAGGTTTATTTAAACTAGAGCCACAGTTAGTTTGTTTTCATTTCTTTATTTTCCTTCCCCTGCAGAGAGACCCGTTCATTCAGATGTACGAGGAGCGCTCTGTGGACGTGGCCGGATACGTCTGCAGGATCCTGGACCAGATGCCGGCGTCTCCCAGCTCCCCCACATACATGGAGTGAAAGCCGGACAGGAAACGATCCGGCAGAAACAAACGCAGCAACAAATCTTTGTGTAAAATTGCTTGGTCCCCTTATTGCAGTGTTAAGAGAAAAAAAGCACCACTACGGTTCAGTCTGTATATATTCCCGCACTTCTGTTTCTCTATTGTTCTCTCACACACACACACACACACACACGTTAGGAGCTGGATCAGTTAGCTGTTGGTATCAGTGACTTCCAGGAAAAATTTATGTGGAAATTGTATTTATGGAACCAAAATGATGTGGAATGGAATCATCCTGGCCGTTCCCTGCTCCCTGCCCCGCCTGTGAGACGCGTTCAGGCCGCGATGCGTTCAGGCGCCGTGCTGATGAATGAATAAAGACAGCAGAAAGGAAACGACGACGGCTTCTGTCTTCTTTCATGGAGCTCCTCTGGAAATGCTCAAGTTTCATATCTGAATAGAAAATCTGAGCCGATATTAAATATTTGGGTCAAAACCCTGCAGAAACGACCTCACCGTTTCCTTTAACCACATTACGCAACAAGATTACTAAAATAAATTCACCAAATGGAAAAATGCTACTTAAAAAAAAAGTTTTTCAATGAAACTTTTGCTTTATGAAGTGAATTTTCAGCCATATTGAAATGGATGCATTTTGAAAAACTGTAATGGAAACACTGAGCATCAGTCATGTGACCAGCAGCCGGATGTTTCTACTGGTGAAAACGACAGGAAGTAGCAGGAGGAGTTTCTTTTTGCTCCTCCAGACCTCACAGCAGCACAGTAAATAAAAAGTTTAGCTTCGTTCCAACATGTTGAATCCATCAGGTTTCTGCGTAATATTTAACTAAACGCCGCGGGGTTGTCGCCTGGATGAGACTCTCCTCTGATTGGCTGATAGATGAATTACTAATATCTGTGTTTACATCCACCGGTTTGAACGACTTATCGCGAGACGTGATTTAAATTTAATTTCTTATTTAATGGAAACTCAACAATTGTGTTATTGTAGGGCAGAAAGTAGACTAAGATTTGCTCAGTTTGTAATGAATCGGCTCTCGTCACGTGACCAGCAGCCGATTCACAAACGGGAACCAGATGGAGATGAACATCCGTTACCAGGATGCAGGAAAACACGCCACATTTTCGCTCTGATGCCGTTTAACTTTTTCACATCCTGTCATTTTGAAAACAGCAGATTTGTAAAGTGGAAAGAAAATGCATGGTTTTCCTTTTTTTTTAAACCAATCTTAAAAGTGTGTAGTGAATTCTTGTTGAGCTGCGTTACTTTATTAGAAAACAACCCACAGCATGATGCATCCACCGCCATGTTTCACAGAGGGTTTGGCTCCTTCTCCCTTCTTACTCATTTCATGACTGGGTTTTATTTAGGGGCATCAGAATAAAGTAGCTACATCTATTTTTGTCACATTATTCAAGTTCTGGTTGAAAACAGTTTTTAATTATGCTCTACATTGAGCTGGTTTGTTATGTAAAATCTTAACAGAACTTATTAGTTTTGTTTTTATGCGACGTGGAAAAGCGCAGCCAACAGCTGCACTTCCTGTTGGTTTTCAGCAAATCATTTCTGCCTCTAATAATAAAAATGTGCTTTGATTATATGTTTTTAATTAATTAAAATCTTATAAACAAGAATAAATTGTACAAATATTTGAATAAATTAGAAAAGAATTGCAGAGATTTTCTAAATAAGCTTCAACACATTACTGGTCCTGAAGATTTGATTCACTTGAAGTGCAGATTATGAAGTGACTGTTCCAATAATCAGGAGATGATGAAGTCTTTAAACTGCTGCTCCGGCTGCTCATCAATGTATTTCTTTATGTACCAGCAGGAAACTCGAGCCTTCAGCTGCTCCTCGGCCAGGAAGTCCATGGCTGCCTGCAAGACAGGAAATCAGGAGTCGCACTGAAAAGCTCCCTGACAGGAGCCAGGCTGCAGAGTTTACCTGGGACAGGGCAGCAGCAATGCCTTGGCCTCGAAATGTTTCAGGAACGAATGTGGACATCAGGTCCACCTCCTTCTGCCCGGTGAACCTGTAGTACAGCATGGCGCATTCACTGTCCCCTGGGACAACACAAACACACACTGCACTGGGTCACTGTGCAGCAATACTGTCAATAAAAACACATAAATTATGATTTCATTAAAAAAAAACCCAGACCTGACACTGCAAAAACAAAATCTTACTGGGTGATTTTGGATTATAGTGCTAATGTCTCAGTGCACTAGAAAAAGGACAAAATAACTTTTCAGCAAGAAATAGGAGCTGGTTTTATGTCAGCAATTGCTTTATATAGATTTTAAAAGTACTAGTTCCACTTTAAAATGTGGAAAATGTATAATTAGTGTAATAATCTGCCAGTGAATCTAGTTCTTTTTCATCTATATTATGAAATTACTCACTTAACCAACCTCATAACATACCAACTTTATTTATAAAGCACTTTAAAACAACCACAGCTGATAAAGTGTTGTACATTAAAACATGACATAATTAAAAAATAAAAATAAAAACTCTTACAGTTTAAACACAAATATACAATTTAAAACTAGATCCCGCTGGAGTTGAAAGCCAAGTAAAATTGATGGGTTTTAAGACGATCTTTAAAATTTATTTCTTGCTGAAAAGTTAAGATATTTGCACTTACAACTAGGATCACCTGGTCTAGTTGAAATGTGTTTTTGCAGTGTACAGAAGGACTAAATCTGTTCTATGAAGGTTTAACCTTTTGATGCTCATTTAAATTAGATCCAAAATAATAATCTACCAGCTGTGCTCCCTTTGTCCACAAAATGCATTGAAATGTGTGTTATATGCCCCTCACATCTTAGCCGAACCACTATTCGGGTTGACCCGGTTAGCTTAACATGCATGTCATACAGACTTTGCTTGGACAAAAGTTGTTAAAACAGACGGTAGCTTAAAATTACAAAAATCTAAACGTAATTCGGCTGAATTCTATATGAAAACAACTTTGATCAAATTTAGCGGCGGGAGTAAAAATGTGAATGTTTCTAGTGGAGATTATTTAATCCATATGTTTCGTGTGGCCAGAAGTGGACCAGGGGCTCTCCTGGTGGATCTACCCCGGCTGCAGAGCCTTCTCTCCGGCTGAGAGTTTACCTTCACCGCTGCTGCCCGTAGTGACCGTGAAGCGTCGGTTCTGTCGGTCATGTTGGACCTTAAACCGTCCGCTGCAGCTGGAGGAGGCCGTATGGCAGGAAACGACCCGGTGAGTCAGTCCAAAGAGTCTGGAAGTTATTTTTAAGGCCATTTCACTCGGTACAAACACACGGCACATGCGCAGTGTGGTTAAAAGCGGTCGTTCTGCAGTTTGTCCGCCAGAGGGCGCAAAACACGCAGAAATCATCGTGATGTACTTTTGACCTGCAAAATATTTTATATTTACAAACCATGACAGATATTTATATTTGTAATATATAAAATCACACTGAATGAATAAAAACAATCCGTGATTTAAAAAAATAAAATTCTATATTAATGTGTAACCTTGAAATTGAAATAAATTAAACAAGATCTAAAATAGTCTTATAAATGTTCACCTTAAGCGAAGAAAAAATAGCATGTTTTTATGTTTGACTCTAAAGAATAAAATGAATCAAACTCAATACAAACTTAAACATAGTATGTTTGAAGTAAAATTAGTAATTTGATCTTTATTCGTTTTTCATTTTTAATCAAAACAAAACTGACTTGAAAATTAAAGAAAAATAAAAACAGTTTAATTTATGTTTTAAAAATCTAAAATGTGTACATAGAAAAAAGACAATGCAGAAACTAAGACAAGCGGCTTTTGATTTAAATGTAGACATTTATTTATTTTAAATACATTTGACAAATAGTTTAATGGTCATCAGCATTATTTATCTTTTACAATCTCAGAAAGTTGTAATGTATGTTTAGTTTAAATATTTACTGACTTAAATACTTACAGTGTACATGAATCATGTTTGTACCCAGTCAAGGTAAAAATAGACATAAATGATGGGAACCAGTTTAACCATTTTACACAAAATGCTTAGCATAATTTTTTTTTACATTATTCTTATTTGAGTCACACCAAACAGTACAGGGCAGTTATTACACCACAACAGCAGTTATTACATCACAACAGCAGTTATTGCATCACAACAGCAGTTAATACACCACAACAGCCGTTATTGCATCACAACACCGGTTATTACACCAAAACAGCAGTTATTACATCACAACAGCAGTTAATACATCACAACACCGGTTATTACACCAAAACAGCAGTTATTACATCACAACAGCAGTTATTACACCAAAACAGCAGTTATTACACCATAACAGCAGTTATTACATCATAACAGCAATAACAAGCTAGAAATTAAACCTAGAAAACCTTCCCGTAAATGAGACCAATAATCAAACGGGATTCGAAACGAGAGTTAATTATGTCAGAGTGGAACGGGTTTATGGGTTGAAGGCTTGACAGGTTTATGGGTTGATGGGTTGACGGGTTTATGGGTTGAAGGCTTGACGGGTTTATGGGTTGAAGACTTGACGGGTTTATGGGTTGAAGGCTTGACGGGTTTATGGGTTGATGGGTTGACGGGTTTATGGGTTGACGGGTCGTCTCAGAGTGGTAAAACAATTCCAGGTCATTTTCAACCATAAATCGTTAATCGATAACCTTCATTAAAAGGTCACTGATCTTCACATGTTCTCAGAGGCAGCAGAGTTTTTCACGCCTGCAGCCATCACAGCGAAGAAAACGTTAGGGAAGAACGATCTGGCAAAAATGGCCATCTTGGGAAGCGAGGGAGCGATTAGCACTTCTTTCCTCTTGTTGTTCAGCGTCCTGACGATCTCAGTGGCAACCTCGTCTGGAGAAACGCCGCCTGGCTTCCTGGTGAACAGCACTGCAGACACAACACAAACCTTCAGTCTCTAACCCCAAACATGGTTTGGTTTCAACCTCTGATTTTACTCACGGGGCCACAGCAGGGACGTCGAGGCCGCCGGCACCGCCGCGGAGCAGCTGATGAAGGTGTGGTTGATGGTGCTGACGGAGATGCCGAACTCCTCCACCTCGGCTCTCAGGCAGTCAAAGAATGCCTGGACTGCATGTTTGGAAGCTGCGTCTGGAAAAAACCTCCTCGAATCACAACCTCCGACCAAAACTGGCAGGTTTTCATGAAACTTTAATTAGGACATAACCGGATTCCCATGCAGACCCGCGACACCCGTTTCTTAAAAGTCTCTGTTGAAACTGAAGCCTTTTGAATAATTGACATTTCCACCTTTAATATGAATTTATCTTCTATTATTCAGCTGAAAAAACGAGTGAATCTATAAGAAGAGAAAAGTCAGAAAGTCAAGCCAACGTTCTGTTGGACCGCCGCTTTGTTCTGGACTCTGTCCTCTAAGTAAGTCATTGTTTAGTTTATTTAATGCATTCTTATACTCTCTGTAATGGTGAGGAAAAATCAGTCATCTTCCACACTGACAACCGACCCCAGAGCATGATGCTGCCACCACCGTGTTTCAAGTCGGCACCATGTTCTGTTGGTGTTGCTTTTTCTACACCAAACCTTGAAAATTGTGACTAATTTTAACAATAGCGTTGTTGATCAGGATATTTGTCACAGTGAGGTTGGAAACAATCTGGAACTTCATGAGGAGCTGAACCTGATTTTCAGAACTGATTATGACGTTGGAATCGGTGAGAAGCAGCTTTATATTTTTCCACTAGCTGGCTCATCTTTCTGACTGCCTTATGAAGTAACACTCTGATTTATTTCAAACTCACATGCGGTGCGGAAAGGCACGGCGATTTTCCCCTGGATGCTGTTGACCAGCAGCAGGTGACCGCTCCTCCTGGAGACCATGGAGGGCAGCACACCTGAAACACACGTCACATCATCATCATCACAGAAATGAAACAAAAATCAAGTTAAACATGTTCCAGTCAGCTACCTTTAGCCAAAGTGATGGGTCCAAAGTAGTTGTTGTCCATGAGGAGCTTGTCCGTCTCCAGAGACAGACTCTGCGCCGGAGCCTTGACCTTCATGCTGCTGTTGAAGATGAGGATGTCCAAGCAGCCGTAGCAGTCCAGAACCTCAGCCACCGCCTCCGCCATGCTGTCCATGTCTCCAAAGTCCAGCAGCACGAGCTTTGGTGGGAAAGTCTGAGGTTGAGGACACAACTCGGCGTTTAGTTTCATGAGCTAAAAAATTCACAATTCAGCTTTTTCTGAGGTCCAGAAAAAATACCTCTACATCCGTTTCTCTGTAGATGAATAGTTTGAAGTTAAGTGTCTATTGTGTATTCACTGAATGTCCACTGACACAGACTCAACACTTTACCGCCACAATAATATCTGCAGGAATGTCAAACTTCAGAAACATTAGAGAACCTGAAAACAATAAAGCAGATAAAATCTGACGTCTTCATGTGCATTACTGTGGGAGGCCACCAGAGGGCGCTGTGGGCCTTAGAAAGCTGAATGGAAAACGAGAAGAAAAAGAAAATCTTTAATAATCATTTATCATGAAATGTTATTTGTTTACCAATAATTATTAAAAATATATATTGCATAAGTTAAGTGTTTAAAATGTTATGTTTAAATGGACATACATTAACTGAAGGAGAAATATACTGCTCCATGTTATAGCTACGAAGGCTAATTTCCACCTGTAGTCCCCAAAACATGCAGTAATAATAAAATTCAACATGTAACAAACAACGCAAAACATAAGGACAAATAAAAGTAATCAACAAAATCAAAGGAAACTGTCACCTGAAGATTCAAAGACTACAGGGTAAATACTGACAGTTACCTTTAGCACATTTTATGCGAACAATCTTGATTAGAAAGAAGATGCACATTTATCAAGCTAGCTTACCGCAAATGGAAAAGCTGTCCAGAAAAAGAGGACACGACTGCAAACCTCTCTAAGACCCCCTGGCTGATTAAAATCAGAAGTCATGAGGCAGAAATTATGCTAAATGAATGTAAAAGAAAAATGATTGAATAGTGAATAAAAATGAGAAGTATTCTAAAAATTTATTTTATAACTTTCTGTGTAGGTTTCCGTCCAGAAGCTATCTGCAGTTTGAGAATCGCTGCATTACACTCATATTTTTCCCTTTCTTGTTTCTTGCTGATTATACTTACTACTGTAGGATCCGAAGCGTTTTCCAGTTCATCTGCCAGTTCTTCCAGCTTCTCCCAGCTTTTCCCACAGAGGATCAGCCTGGCTCCTCCTCTGTGAAAAACACCTGCGCACTCTTCGCACAAGAAACGGAAAAAGCTGGAACATTTAAGCCAGCCTTCAAAGACGGGGATGTTTTATGTCCGCCTTACCTTTTCCCAGCCCAGATAAAGCATCCGTTATTACCACCACCTTATTGCGTACGGATGTTTTAGACAGCAGGCTGATAATGGCGCCATAGAGGTAAAAAAATCCAGCGGTTAGCACCACAACGCAGGGAACCACCAGGATGGTGGTGGTCCATGTAGGGTCCATCTCTGGAGGGCTGTCCTGGAAAATTATTTCATTTTACATTAGATATCCAGCAACCATGTTGACGATCAAGTCACTGAAAATGCTCAAGCAAAAATATGGAAGAAATGTTTCCAATATTTTCAGACAACATGCTTATCGATGCAAACAAACTTGCATCAATCCCTGTGCTAAGCTGCGGTGCTTATTTTTAGCTTAGCATAAAATAAATGACACCAAGGAAAAAAGTTAACATAAACGTCAATTTCAAACCAAAACACTTATGTACTTAAATGAACATATTTCATTAGTTTTTATTTTTATTTTTACAGAATTTGCTGAAGCAATTTTTTTAACTAGCTGGCAGTCGTCACGCTGTCAGCTAGTTAGCTTAGCTAATTAGCTAAAATTAAAGAGATGCTTCTTCTTAAACACTGAAATCAACACTGGACCACAAACTTAAAGGCTCACTTTAAAAAAAACCTTCAATTACATATATTTACACTCTTTTTTTACTCTGCACTTTTTAAAAATCAAATCAACAAATGTATATTGTATCAACTAGCTCCCACTTAGCTTATGTTACAGAAAGTGTAGGAGGAATTAATCTCATATCTGCTTGTATGCTAAATACTGAGCAGAAAGACAAAAGGTAGCAGATTTCAAACTAATTCAAAAATACAAATTGAATTAAAACAAATAATGTTTGCAAACCACCATTATTTACATTATACAGTCATGGCAGAAAATATAAAGTAACTACACTCTGTTCAGTGATTCTCCATATCTGCTGGGTTTTATGCTCTTCAGGTTAGCTTTAAATAATTTAAGATTTTAGGAAAACAGGTATGAAAAACCCCAGAACTAAAAGTGAGTGTACTTTTTTATGTCATGAAAGGTCATTGTAAATAATTGTTATATTATGTGTAAGCATGTGAGCGAATTTTAAATGAAAGATGATTCTGATTTCAGTAGAAACATGGGATGAGATGGATGTTAAAATCGATTTAGTTTCTACTGAGTAGATTCTCATTCCAGTCGTCTCACCGTCTCTGACATATTGGAACTCATCTCACCCTCTACTATCATTTTTCTATGTAACTATGAGCTCTTAAGGTTCTGAAACAAAGACAGAAAACACATTTTAAACACGATCAAAATGAAAATACTGGCTGTATACAGAATAATACATATTTGTATAAATGTAAAACATCTACAGCATGTAGATATAAATCATATGTTGGTCATGTTGCAACCACAGACTTTATTTTACTTTCTTGCAATTTTATGATTTAAAAAAACACCAAAAACAGAGCTATTAAGTGGAATAAAAGTGAAACACGACTTTTAGTCCATGTGTTTCATTTAAGCTCCAGCTGTTCAGTGAAGGCTTCAGCTGTTTTTAGAAAAATAATAAACAAACAGCATCATGAAGCCCTTATAAGGTATACAATTTCATTTTAAAAAGAATTCAAATCCAAAAATACTTTATCCCAAAGAGAAATTAAATATTTTATCAAATATTATATGAATTTCTTTAGATAATGCAGACGCTGATGGCTGCAGATATTATCACATCTGCAAAAATACAATAAAACAAACAGAAAAATTCACTGTAAAAACACAAAATCTTACCAAGTAGTTTCATCTATTTTTTAGTGCAAATTTATTAGAAAACTTGAACTGAGACAAAACTAACTTTCAAGAAACGTTTCAGCAAGAAATAACAGCTTGTTTTAAGTCAATAATTCCTTAATGTTGATTAAAACGTTTTAGTTCCACTTGCAGATTATTTCACTCAAAAGACATTTTTCCCCAGTGAAACTAGAACTTTTCATCAATATTAAGGAATTATTGACTTAAAACAAGCTGCTCTTGCTGAAAATGTACTTATAAATTAGTTTTATCAAGTAAGATATTTGTACCAAGAGCTAGACGAAGATACTTGGTAAGATCTTGTGTCTTTTCAGTGTTTGAGAGGTGTAAATGCTCTTGCACACATACTGCCACAGTGAAACAAATAAAATGATTAATATAAGTGCTCAGACACACAGGACGCCTGTAAACCGTTCAAATATGACCAAAGACTGAAAATTATTCCTGGATCGGAGGGTGACGCAGCGGCAGGCCGGAGTCCCAGAGCCCATCTCACCCTGGAAGTGTTGTTCCAGATTTCTCTCATCTAACATGATAAAACCAACAAGCAACATGAAGCATCAGCTGGAAACATGAACATAACCTTTTGATTTGGAGCTATGCTGCCGAGCTCCAGTCGTTTGTCCACGTTAAGCTCTCTATATATAAACCAGAACTAAAATAGATGCTGAACTTTTCAACGTCACCGAATCCTTCAACAGCTTTATGAGGAGGAAAGAAAGGAGTTTATCTTCTGCTCTGCTTTGTCTTTCTATATTCCTTACATTTAAGCTAAAATGCAGGCACATTTAAAGAGTTTAAATTACGAGTAAGAGAGAGAGTGATCTAGGAGTTATGGGCTCCCACTCACCGTTTCCCAGAGGACTGCAGGTAGTCAGGTCTGATTCGCCTCCTGAGGAGCTGGAGCTGCACGCCTCAGCACGGCTCCTCCAGCACGACAACTGGCCGGCCCTCCACTGCAATACTTTGGGATTTGAGCTCTTTTAATAGCTGCACAGCTGACTGGCTTGTTGACTGGCAGTGACTGATCCCACAGAAGGCCGATTGGATTGTGTTGAAAATCAAAAGTGAATTTACTCACTTGGAGTCTTGACCCAACCCAAACCGGTTACCGAATTAGTTTGCAAATTAATTAAAGTTCTTAACCTTCAACATGTAATTTAAAGACCTAGCTAGCCACCATTAGCAATACATGATAATAGCAGTGTATTTTTAAGTATTTTAAGATATGAAACATTAAAGGATATCCTCACAAATAGATGTACAACCCTGTGTGTGCCTCTGTAAATGAGATGCAATTTATATACAATATTTCCCATTGCGAACTTTTGTATTTTTTCCGACTTCAAACAGCTTCAAACTTCAGAGAACAAATGGAATGCGCCATCTTTTTTTCCTGCCAGAAATAAGAAGGTTTGAAGCCTTTATTTTGAAGTTCTGACCGGATGTACTTTGCTCTTATTTATCTCCGCACAGAGGAGTCCTCGGTTTCTCTACACTGATACAGCAGCGGACAGTTTGTATTTTCTCTCTGTCGTCTCAGAGCAGCGCTATTTTCTCTCCGTAGCAGCTTTTTGTCGACATAATGTCAGATTTCGAGGAGTTTGAGAAACAACTGAGCGAGAACCGACAAGGTTAGTTTATTTATTTATATTTTTAAATTTCTTCCGTCGGCATTTTCTGTCTGTCCCGGTTTTTAAGGCACAAGCTAGCGGCGTTACGGCTGCGCGTGCCGTTAGCTCGCTGATTTTTATGAATGAATAAACCGGCGTGACGACAACTTTATGTTTCTGCGGCTCAGATGGTTCACTGCGTGTCCTGGCAGCGATGAGGCTCAGCTCGGCTTCATGTCACAGACCGCATCCATCATTTACCAGTTCACCTGTGGGGGGAAAGAGGCAGCAGCATCCTCTTACTTTAATATTATGTATTATTACATTTATCTATAACAATTTTTTACATTTCAGCAGCTGTCAGAAGTCCACATCCACTCATATGCATAAATGCCACATTATTTTATTTTTTATTGATTATTTATAAAGGGTTTTTTAACCAGCATGGAAGGATTATACAACAAACTGTAACAGTTTTTATTAAACAACAATTGTTTGTTTGCTCATTTTTAATATCCACATATGATGGCAATTATTCATATAAATATTTAATTAGCAGGTTTCTGGATGTACTTTATCCAGAGTTGGTCAGAGTAGAAATAAATGTGCTCAAGTAACAGTAAAATGTAGTTTTCCAAGAAATTACTCCAATAAGAGTAAATATTAAGTCAAAAGTCTTCTTAAGTACTGAGTAATAGATCATAACATCTGATTTAATGTTTAACCATGTTAAAATATTAGGTTAGCTGGAGATTTTGGTATTTTAAGGACTAAAGAAATAAAATTATTCTAAATTAAATTCAGGCAGAATAAAAACATTTTCAACATCAAATTTATTACACTAATTCCATCCATCCATCCATCCATCCATCTTCTTCCGCTTATCCGGGATCGGGTCGCGGGGGCAGCAGCTTCAGAAGGGAGGCCCAGACTTCCCTCTCCCCAGCCACTTCTTCCAGCTCCTCCGGGGGAACCCCAAGGCGTTCCCAGGCCAGCCGAGAGACATAGTCCCTCCAGCGTGTCCTGGGTCTTCCTCGGGGCCTCCTCCCGGTGGGACATGAACACCTCACCAGGGAGGCGTCCAGGAGGCATCCTGACCAGATGCCCGAGCCACCTCAACTGGCTCCTCTCTATTGTACACTAATTCGTACAATAATATATTACCTATTGGATTGTAAGGTACTTATAATCTGTATATATATTATTTACTTTATCTTACTGTATCTACAGTAAAAAAACAAAGCTTGTGTAAAAATGAGAGGTCTCACTCAAGCCTGTTTTTATTCAGCAAAGTTTCTCAAAGTGGGTCTAGTAGTCAAAAATTTGACTTAAAAGCAGGAATACGTCAAAATAATGTTACTCTAGTAAAAGTAAAACGTACAGTGTGGTAAAACTACTAAAAGTATGTTTGTCCTAAAAATACTACTCAAGTAAATGTACTTAGTTACCTCTGACCTCTGGTTTAATCCTGACAAACTCTATATTTTGCGACTGTTCAGATAGAATAATTGTGTCGGCTGTCAGCAGGTCGGGTTTTTAAAGATTGGTCAGAAAGCTGCTCAGGGTCCCTGATCCCTGTTTTGTTGTGTTTAATGGAGGATGGTTCTGTGTCCACAGAGAGGGAGAGGGAGCGGCACAGGAAGCGGAGTCGCAGCGGGTCTGCAGGCCGCGGCGACAAGCATCGCAGCTGGAGCAAAGACCGAGGGAGCCGCAGCCGGGACCGGAAGAGCCGGGACCGCCGCAGCTCCTCGAGGGAGCACAAGAAGCACAGGTAAGGCTCCTCCCTCACCGAGAGGAAAACACACCGATACTGGGACACCAGCTGTTACCAACACCGTTTTATATGGTGATTCTCTCCATCTAGCCGCTCACCAAGGAGAACGAGAAAGAAAAAGACATGTAAATACTGGGATGTTCCTCCTCCGGGCTTTGAGCACATCACACCGATGCAATACAAAGCTATGCAAGGTAACCGTACCCTGAGTTCTTTTAGCGTTCTGCTGATTGATTGTCTGTTTCATCTGCTGCATCATCTCCCGTCTGTCCAATGCCGTCTCTCCCCCAGCGGCGGGTCAGATCCCGACCATAGCTCTGCTGGCTACCGCCGCCACCACCGGAGTGGCTGCCGCGCCCGCGCAAGTCCCCATCGTCGGCAGTCAGATGACGAGACAAGCCAGGCGTCTGTACGTCGGGAACATCCCGTTTGGTGTGACGGAGGTGAAGGCTGCACCACGCTGCGCCGTTCCTTAGTCCTGCATCGTTTTTCATCTCATTTTGTGATTCTGCTGCGCAGGAGTCGATGGCAGAGTTCTTCAACGCTCAGATGCGTCTGGCAGGCCTCTCTCAGGCACCCAGCAACCCGGTTCTGGCCGTCCAGATCAATCAGGACAAAAACTTTGCTTTCCTGGAGGTCAGCCTTAAAGATTCCAGTCATTCTTTTGTAAACCTTTGATTTTCCTTCAATAGTTTTTACTGATTTTCATTTTTCTTTAAGAAATATCACATAGAAAGTCTTCCCTCATTAATAATTCATATTACTTTCTGCAAGACTTTGTGATAAACATTTAGAGTGTATTTGGTGCAAACACAACAGGTGCAAACACAACAGGTGCAAACATGCAGCACACGCATGAATAATGCAGCTACAAAACACACAAAAATCAAATGCAACAGAAAAACGCTGCAACCACAGCAAATGGAAGCACATATAGAATGGAAAGAGCAAAAACAAAAAAACCAGCAAATATGAAATGCTGCAAACTCGCTCCACAAAACGAAGTCCTCCAGACCACTAGGGGGAGTCAACCACCAAATCATCTGGGAGCAGACCCTCAGTAAAGACGGGATGTCTAGAAGAAAGATGGAGGAAGAAAGTAAAAGCTGTGTTATTCTTCATGTGTTATAATATTGTAGAGCAGCAGCGTATTTACGTAGGTAGTATTACCTACTCCAGACTCCCCCTAGTGGTCTGGAGGACTTCAGTTCTGTTCAGCAAGTTGGAATCACTTTATACTTGATTTTCTTTGCCAATTGCAGTATTTTGTCTTTTCCTTCCTGTGGTTACAGCTTTTTTTAGTTTTGAAGAATTATTCTTCTGCATTTTTTTTAAGTTCAGGATTTATGAAATCCTGAAATTTAAAATCAGAATATTACATCAGACCAATAAAACAAATTAAGAAACATGGGTTCAATAAAAACTGTGTTTAATACCTTCTTAAAAATCTTGTTTAATCTGATAAACAAGACTCATTGGAACGTAGTGAATATAATTTATTAACATAATTTATTAAATAGCATAAACGTCCTGATGCCAGTTTCTGTTCTGTCTCTGTCTCTCTCCTGTAGTTCCGGTCGGTGGACGAGACGACGCAGGCCATGGCCTTTGACGGGATCATCTTCCAGGGTCAGTCGCTGAAGATCCGACGGCCTCATGACTATCGGCCGTTACCTGGAATCTCGGAGCAGCCGGCCTTCCATGTCCCAGGTGTCCGCCTCTCCGCTGCAGCTGCCCCGCTCCGCTGGGCGCTCTCTAACTCTCCTGTCCTCCTGATGCGTAGGCGTCGTCTCCACAGTCGTTCCTGACTCGCCTCATAAACTTTTCATCGGAGGCCTTCCTAATTACCTTAACGACGACCAGGTATCTACTGACGGCAGTCTGCACAGCTTCTCTTGTTTTCCTCTCTCTTCTCACGCTGAGCTTCTAGTTGCTCTCAATTGGACATTAATGTCCGCTGAGGCTTCCTGTAGAAACATGGCACCTTTAGTAATGATCATAATGTAGGAATCTGACTGTGGTAGCTCCAACATGATCTACATTCTTGATGTAAAAGAGTCCTAATAACAATCTAATGTTAAGCAAAATGACTTAGGAAAGGTAAGTACATTTTAGCTTTATTATTTATAAACATCATTCATTTCTTCTCAAAGAAAAAGTCCACCTTAATAAAATATAAGCCAAGCTTTGTATCAGGTACTTTAAATTTGCCTTTCTGGATTTTTTCAGTTGTTTGGTGTTTTTTTGCGTTTCGGGCAGCATTGTGTCTGCTCCTTTGGATCTGATAGTTTTATCTGCAGTCAGATATTTATCCGATATTACAAAGTGAAGCGTCTGCAGTCTGTGGGAGTTTTTCGTCCAGATGTCGGGTATGAAGCAGGTCTGACTTTCATGACCAGGTCCTGTAAAATGAGTTTTCATCTCCAGTCTACTGAGGATGCCTGGTTGAAACGCTGAAACTTCCCTGAATGACTCCAGAAACGCCTCCAGCTGTAGGAAAACTGAGTGGACTTTTCTTTTGAGTCAGATGTTGTTCAGATGTAGCTGCTACTCTGTGCTCATGCAGCCTGATGTCTGTTATTCTCTTTTTCCTCTTCATTTGCTGAATAATTTCAGTCACTTGCTCTGTG